GAATTATAAAATATTTCATAATTCATTTAACATTAGTTCATTGAGACGCTCTTGATGTTTTCCTCGTCGTTATAAAAGATTACATTCACGAGGATCCTTCAAAACGTTGGATTGAATGAGCAGCTAATGGCGATTTGCCATTCACATGTTGGCTACTAACAAGTTCCGATTTTAACACCTTGTGACTCATGTGACTCTTTTTTATAGGCACACGTCAAGCACAAAGCCTTTGTTTCTTTCTTCCTATTGAGTTTACATGGCCCCAACCAATGAATCACTCTCACTATTGCTACAGTTGATGCAACCGATGTTTATCTGTCGATAGAGTCAAATCTAATTTTCGAACAATTAAATTACCGAATGAAATTACCGAATTAAAATGCTTTAACAATTTGTTCAAGTATCAATATATGCGAATTCCTTCAGAACGCGTCTCATTTCCAACGTTTGCTCTAGAATAACCCATCGAAACTATTTCTTCCCTAATAACCCTGCGAACTTCAAAGACACAAACAATTCCCCCATCGCCGACTCGCTGCGAATCGACCTCAAACCAAACCGGCGAACGAAAATAATCCCGAAACATCCCACTTCCGTTCAATATAATCCTCAAACCCCAAACCGCAACTCTTCGCCCGCGGGAACAGAAACTCGCATGAAATCGATACGCATCGACCCGTTGTCACTCCGATCGCGGATATCCCGACACCGGCAACCTGGTTCGCCGCATCCCGGCTGCAACTCGAAATAAGTGAAAACGGTCGGTCGATCGGTCGGTCGGGGTAGAGATAATAGCCTAACGGTCTGTGTCCGCCGTCAGTGGCCGACTTCGAGAATGTGAGAAGCACGAGGAGAGGACGAGGTGAAGATAGAGAAGGAAGACGGAGAAGAAAGGTAGAGAGAAAACATAAAGGAACAGATATAAAGAGACATACCGTGGAATGCAGAAGATAGAGAAAAGGTCAGAAAGAGATATAAATAGAAACGTAGAAAAGGAGATAAAGAGAAAGATGGAAAGGGACGTACAGGGAAAGATAAAGAAAGAAAGATTTAGAGAGAAATATAAACTGAAAAGAGACATCTACAGAGAACCAGAGAAATAGAGAAGCTAAATAGACAAAGATAAAAGGGACATATGGAGAAAAATAAAGAAAGAAAGATCTGGAGAGAAATTTAGACAACTGAGAAGAGACATCTACAGAAAGCTAGAGGAAAATAGAAGCTAACTAGAGAAACATAAAAGGGGAGATTCAGAGATACAGGGAAAAATAGGTAAATGGAAACATAGAAAGGAACTCAGAGAGTACCATAAAGAGAAAGTTAGACGGAAAGATAGAAAGATAGAGAGACAGATTCGCAACGCGTACTGCGAAGTGTATATAACACGTTTCGCGGAGAGCTGCGCCCGATATCGTCGCGATTAACATTGTTGCCCGCAACTCGGGCCAAGTTCCTCCCGGGGCTGTTCGAAATTCGAGCGCGATACACGTAGGTCTCGTAACTAGTTCGCGGGAAACTCCGGGGGCTTAGCAAGAACGTACCTCGCGCAAGATTCCTGCCGACTAACGGACCGATCTACCGTGGATCTGGTCTCGCAGCGGCGCGGAGCGACACGCTCCTCTTCTCTCGATCCTCTCTCCTTTGTGCCCGAAGACACTGGTGCACGCTACCACCACTGTTGTGACTCACTGTCGTCGGAGACACACGTCGCTCTACCAAAGAGCGAGTCTGGCACGGAAATAGAAACACGGCACCGCGATGCTCAGCCGCGTCGCGACACCGTTGATCCTTCCATAAATGTTTTTCCTCGGCCGACCACGATCGGCGGCGATGCACACGGCGAACACAGAGCACACCCGTAACGCTCCCAGCTTGCGTGCCGACCGAGTTCACTCGCGATACTAAACTCGTGCCTTTTGCACACGCTGGAGAACGGGCCTCTTGTACCGGTTAACGATACGTCCCGGCCAGCCGTGCTCCCTCCTTTTCTGCCCGACGCGACCGCTCGGCCACGTCGCACACGCACGTGGTCCCTCTCTCGGTTCCCCTGTACTCTTAGGCACTCCGTCCACTGGTCGCGGCGTGCGCGGCGAAATGACGATTGCTGTGGGCTTCGGTGCTGCGACCATTGGTAACTAAGGCACTCTATCCACTGACTGTAGCGTATGCAGGTTAAATGACGGCGGTTGTAGGCTTCAGTGTTGCAACCAACGTGAACTAAAGGACTCTATCCACTGATTGCAGCATATATGGCAAAATGATGGTGAGCTTCGGTGCTGCAACCGATGGAAACTAAGGGACTCTATCCACTGATTGTAGTATACATGGTAAGATGGTTGTAGGCTTTAACGCTGCGATCATTGGAAACTAAAGGACTCTATCCACTGATTATAGTGTATATGGCAAAATGATGATTGCTGTAGGCTTTAGTGTTGCAATCATTGGAGACTAAGGGACGTTATCCACTGATTGTAGCGTGTGCAGGTTAAGTGACGATGGTTGTAAGCTTCAATGCTGCAACCAGTGTGAACTAACGGATTCTATCCACTGACTGCAGCATATATGGCAAAATGACGATTGCTACACACTTTAGCACTGCAACCAATATAAACTAAGTCTCTCCGTTCACTAGTTGTAGCATACATGGCGAAATGACGATGGTTGTAGGCTTCAGTGCTGCAACCACTGGACACTAAGGCATTTTGTTTACTGGTTGCGAAATACGTGGCGAAACGACGATGGTTGTAGGCTTCGGCGCTGCAACCAAGATGAACTAAGGGACTATCCACTGATCGTAGCGTACATGGGAAAATAGCGATTGCTGTAGGCTTCAGCGCTGCAACCAATACAAACTAAGACTCTCCGTTCACTGATCGTAACAGGTTAACTGACGATTGATACAGGCTGTAACACTGCAACCAATGAAAGCAACGCACCTCTATCCACAGATCATCATTGTCACGTCAAACTTTGCGTCACTGGAGCATACTGCAATCGTCATTTCGTAGCGTACGCTATGGCCAGTGGATAGAGTACCTTAGTTTACATTGGTTGCAGCTCTGAAGCCTACGGCAAGCGTAATTTTACCGCGTACGCTACGACCAGTGGACAGAGTGCCTTAGCGACGTTCGCCTGTGACCCTCGAATGATTTCTGCCGTTGCAGTACGGGGAATGCGCATGTAAGCGGCACGGATTATTCGCGTTACGTGATGCTTTGTCCTCTTTCTTCTCGTACGGCTTTGTGCTCCGTTCTCACTAGAGCGAAGACGTTTAGCAACACGTGAGGGATCTTGCGAGAGACTCGCTGCGAGGAATCCGTTTCAGTCCGCGTTCCTTCGTGCACGGGTTAAGAACCCGGCTGGAGGGAACGGTGATATACAGGGTGAGTCATGTGGTTCTGACGCCTTGACCCTTGGGAAGAGGCTGCTAACGTGTATTGCGTCTTAAAGTTTCAGTTGTTACAAGAGCTCGATATATGTTCATGGGAATTGAAACATCAGTTTTTAATGGAAACACGGTTCTTCTTGTTTAATTCGCAGTGGAGTATTACTGTATTTTTTTCTTATTGTGATCAGTGTATATTTTAGGCTCTTGGAAATTTTTGGAATTGCTGGTTTGGAGATAATTTGATTTACTCTGAAGTATTGTTTATAATATAATCGTGATGATAAATACAATGTAATGAATATCATTTGAGATACAATTATTCGACTTTTAATAGTCCTTGAAATTACGAAGTGAAATGTTACGAGTTCGAACGTTGCGTTTAAAAAATTCAGAGTGAGATCCGTATCTCCGTAAACGAGATAAATAACGTGAAAGTAATTGTTACATTTTGCTTGAGCCACTTTTTCGTATAACGCGAAGTTTATAAGTAATTTAAGATAATAGAGTTACGTGACCCGCCATGTATAGACACTGCAGGATTATAGGAAGGTAGATATTTATTGAGAGTTGCGCAACGTTTTGGTAGCGCCGTAGATAATTGCATCTGATACCGGTGAGTTTTTTGTTGGATGAGATTGCTGGTGTTATTCGCGCGCGCGTTTTTAATAAATATACTAGCCGTGCTGGATGGCTATATCATAACCGCGCGTTGGTAACTATTTCATAATGAAGCGGAAAAATATTATGGAATTTGTTTTGACAAAGGAGTATTGTTTTCCCCCCCCGTTTTTTCCATAACAATATGGTCTATGTAATAATTCCTAAAATAATTGGAATCCGAGAATGAAAATTTTCGAACGAATTGTTATCATTAAATTATTATTCGCCCAAGTTTACGACAATTTTCCGCTCGTTGAACGTTCGTTGTTCTCAACCACCTAAATTCGCATTAACAATATAACTACTATACACGTTAAAACTGAAAAATATTTGTTACCCAATACGTTTCAATCTAATATATTCATAGTTTATCGCTGCGTTAAGTAATAATTATTATATCACGAATCTAGAACCTTAGAAATCTTTCAGTCTCACTGAAAACAAGTGACAATCAAAATCTAACAGTACCTTTATATCACAGTACACCGTATATACGCGAGACACAAAAATAAACCGGTAAGATGGTTGTCAAATGACAAAGTATATAGTCACCCCATCTATGATGCAAAGCCGAACTAATTGCCGAGCTACGTGTCAGTCAGTCAATCCTCAGCCGCAATAATTCACGAAAGCTACAATAGACAATATAATCAGCAACTTTAATATAAATTAACAATACTCTCCTATCGTGCCCCATGACGATCCCCCGAAATGTCGTACATTTCCCCCGACAAAGAGCCTCGCGAAATAATCAATGAAAACAGGGGATTTCCATGAAAGTCCGCTCGCGCCGACGATTAATTTTTCGCCGGCGCTATGAATAAGTAATAATAGTAAAATATGCAAATAAAATATGCAAATAACTGCAGCTGTGAACGAAGCTGAAACTCTATAAAAGAATAAGTAACAACACTCTTTGAAAAAGAGGAAAACAAAAAATAAAACGAGAAACCGGTGGGGAAAAAAAAGGAGGAACTCCTGCCACGATGCGCTCCCTTACAGAACCGGCGTCCTTTCAACGACCGCGCATTTTTCCATGCGAAGTAATTTATTTTGTGCATTCCGCACGCGAGAAATTAGACAACCCAGAAATTCCCCTTCCACCACCGCGCCCCCCTTTGCACGGTAAAAAGCTAATTTCCCAGCGCTACGTTTCAAGCCGCGAAACACTCGCGACGATTGTTTCGAACGTGAATTCTTCCAGTCTATCGGTGAAATTTCATTCACCAGATAGCTGTCTATATTACGGCAATAACTATCGGCCGGCGGCCAGGATTACATCCAATGCATCACCGGCAGCGGCGATACGCGCGACGATATCGGCCGCCCGATACAACCGAATAATTCTCTTTTAATTTTACAACGGGAATAAACCGGCGTGAATAACTGTCTTCCTGTGGAAAACACTTTCGCGCCGCGTCGGCGCGCGCCGTCCGCGTAATAAGGGTCGCATAGCCGCGAGGCGGCTTCACGCGAGCGCGCGCGCGAGATCGTATCTGAAGCCGGAAACGTCCGCAGCCGCGCGCGAATTGATATAAACTTCGCGGCCCATTATTTTTCGGCCCGCGGAATCCGCGCTATCGCGGCGAATCGTGAATTTTTACGATCGCCCCGGATTACGCGGCTGTCCTGATCCGACGCGCCGCTTTAATTCGCTGTAATTCTGTAACCCGTTAATTAACGGTAGGTTTACCGACATTTATTGTGTAGTGTATTCTATTGTTCTTGAACGAATGTTCGTTGATTTGACACGTCGAATGGCCGGTTTTGATATTTCGCTTCAAACCCTGCGTTGTCTTCTTCGTATGTTTAACTTTGTATCGGTTACTATATTGTTTGATTAATTAGTTTATTAATGTGTCTTTCGTGTCTCTATTTTTGATAGGATAATTTTATTGTGTGACTTATTTAGGTTTATTTCATAGCCAATTATTTGACCGATTACGGAGGGAATACAAGGTGTTGGTACGTTCAATGTTTAATTCTTGAAACTAGAGTTTCAACACTAGAACTAGACATAAAAATGATTTTAGTCTTTTTATTTCCTAGTTATTGATATGTGGAAAGTGTCAAATATCCGAAACGGCGTTACAAATGAATAGTTTCACTGGAATATTATAATAGATACATGAACAAACAAGAATTGTTATGATTACATATTAACCCCTAGCATCCCAGTCAGTTTTATAGTTCACCATTAACTCCAATTATTTCTATAATACCTAGTAAAAATTAAAAACCTCATAACATTTCCCAGATTTCTCATTCTGCTTCCTAAGACAAAATTGACTAACACACACAATAATCTTAAAATAGTTTCCTCGCCGTTGTTAACATATTTAAACTACAAATTTCCGTATCGGAGCCTATCAGAATGTCAATCATTAAACGCTCGATAATTCTATCATTAAAAGCAGACAGTTAGAATGCACATTCATAAAACATCAATCAAAATCACCGTGAACATTCGCCGAACAGCGTATATAAGTTTCAATGCCCGTTAAATTGACATTTTCGGTAAACCGAGCGTTACCGAAGTAACGCGTTTCATATCGGCGAATCGGGTTTCGCGTAATTCACTGCGTCGCGACACGCTCGCGTGCACGCGAGGCGGCAGCGAGGGGATAAAGCGTCGAAGGGAAGCGACCGCGACTCTGTCGGGAAGTTCGCATTATCTCGCGAAAATAACTCGTTAAAAATTTCCCTCTGTCCGCGACGAGCGCGCGCGCATTGTCCGTTTTAATTATGCGGCTCGAAGAAGCCTGTTCGAAACTCGCCGGCAACGGTCCGGGGCGGAAATATCGGGAAGGAACTCGCTGCGAGGGAAGTGTACGAAGGGAAGTGGACGACGCGGAAAAGGGAGCGAGCGAGAATAATGCCGGATCCGCGTAATCTCGCGCCACTTCATTGTCGAGGGGCGATAGAAGAAACAAGCTCAGCGTTTCGCGAATGAAAAAGATACTTCTGAGCGGGGCCGATTCATGCATCTTGCATTTTCGCGAGGTCCGAGGGAATTAATGACGCTCCCGCCGCCGGCCGCTGTTGACTCTTGCCTTCCGGCGCGGGTCGAATTAATTTTCGAGACGCGCCGCGGCCCATCGGTACATCTCAGAAATTTGTCGATCGAGCTCGAGCAGCTG